CACAAATGTGGCTTAGCGAGGAAAGGGTTTTCACGTGACGCATAGTTATGAGTCACAGGTACGTTATTGTTTCACACATATGACTCATTAGGGTCAGATAATTTGTTATGTGTGGAATTTGTGATGCTTTCACACATGGCTCAAGTATGAGTCATGGGACGTACGCCTGACAAGTATGCCTTACAAGTATGCCTTGCAGGTAAGCCTTGCGCATATGATTTATGTTTTACACATGACCTCATTATAAGGTCATGGGTTTCGAGCATATGACTCAGTTGAGTCATATGACTTGTTTATTGCGTTATGATTGGTTTATGAGTTTTGTATATGACCTCGCTGTAAGGTCATGGGTTTTGAGCATGTGATCACTTTGGTCACATAATTAGTTTGTTATGATTTGGTTTCGCGCATGAGACCACTTTAGGTCACATGACTACAGGCGGGAAGAATACTATATAAGGAGGCCGATGCGGCTGAGGAAGATAGGTTCTTCACGCTTTGTTCTAAGTACTTTTCCTACTTATTACTTTAACGAATATAAAATACCTTTACGATCTTTATCTTTATTGCAACGTTATCATTACGCCGAGAAGTGCTCGTCACGAAGAGGAGTTAAAGAAAGCTTACAATAGGCGTTTCCGATAGAAGACAAAGGTCTTGTACTATCGGTAATGTAGGCAGAGGCCTAGAGCTATCATAAGACAAACAAAGAAGCAGACAGAAGAGATAAGTATCGTTCCCCGTCGCCAAGAACTAACTATCTAAAAGGGGATCGTTACATAGGATTTCTTCTGGTCTCTGGTATGACACTTATGAGAAAGAACTTATTGTGGAAACCGAAGCTTTTAGTTTCTCAGACTCCACTTTTGATGATTATTAGGTTTTGTTTAAACAGTTGTTTTGTTTTAAAGAATGTAACTGGTATGGGTACTCAGTTATTGGTTTTGTTTTACATTTTGTTTTAAGTATCACTTTGATATTTGGTTTGTTTTAAGTATCGTTTGATACTTGGTTTTGTTTTATATTTCATTTTAAGTATCGCTTTAATACTTGGTTTGTTTTAAGTATCGTTTGATACTTGGTTTTGTTTTTACTAAAGGGTATCGCTTGATACCTTTTGATTAATTTCGTTCATGCTAAACATGAACAAGATTTGTATATTTAAAGACCGCCTGTTTCCATAATGGAAAAGGCAGACTTCGACAAACAGTATTTCAATATACTTGGTTGAACGGTAACCTCTTTTGTTCTCAGTACACCCTCGAAGCCTTCTTTAGTTCTCAGCTCTCACCTCCTCTCTGCTAGAGCACGCCACTTGCCAACTATCATACCATTTACCAATAATGTGATTAGCACCTTGCGAACATGTTACAGAGAGTCACTAGGCTTCAAAGATGGGACATCTTTTATATAAGCCATAAGTAATAGGACCTTTTCACACAAAGATAATGTATCAAAAGTTAGTGGATCTTTACAAAGAACTAACACATACCCATCCACCCTACAATAATTAAAAGTATTTAGAACTCTCAGAAAACACTACCAAAGAAGCCAATAGACTTTGTAGACTGTTACAACTAGACTAAGGAATATATTATAGTTGCAGGAATTCTTACCAATGCCAAACAATAATCAAAGCCCCATCATCTATGACAACCAGAAGTTTCCAACTGAGGTATCATCTACGAACCCAGTAGAAGAGCTTCCCGCAAATTAGTAGGAAGTTATCTGGAATATATCTGTTAGTTGAATAAGGAGTTATGGAGGTTTGAAGTTAATAACCTAAGAAGGTTACATCTACAACTACTCCTGCAAACACAACCCATTTATAAAACTCATCATTTCATTAATAAGGAAGACAGTTGGAGCCAACGCAGTTAAACCTGAAAACTAGGTCATAAGTCTAAGAACTCCAAAGATCAGATAATTACTATTGGAAACAGCACAGTTCTCCAACTGGTGAAATAGTAAATTGCTGAAAAAGGTATAATAATTTTCAGGATCTCTCTGTATTCGCACTTTTGGAGAAATCCTGACATTGCGAGATATAGTTAGAGAGGTACATCAGTGAAAAGAAATACACTTGAGTCCTACATGTCCTGTATGTCCTGACTTCTCTTTTGTATCCTGATTTTCAATTTACATCCTGATTACAATTTTTGAAAATCTAATAAGCTGCTGATTCTACATTTTTTAAATTTAATGCCAGTACAAACAGATAATTATTTTGGGTACATACGGGGATTCAAAGTAAACAAAGTATTTTTAATGAAATGGACTTGAAATACTGATTACATAATGGGTATATGTTCCTATAAGCTTATATTTTGCAAGAACAAGTATTTGCTTAATATAAATCTGATGAAATAACGCTTTTTGATAATATTCCCAGAAGGTTTTTTAAGCCATATCAGGATGCAAACAGGGATTACAGGACACACTAAACATACCAGATGTAAGGAGTATTTTTTGCTAATGTACATAATTTGTATAAGAAGTCATATTGTCCGCAAACACTCAAACATGCAATATAAATATCAAAGTACTTTCCAAGATTTTAGACATAATCAAGCAATGGAGAAGAGACCTTAACAATATAATGTTGTTTTTATGATTCCACTTTACTTTACCTTACTCTTAGTAGTCATAAATTAAACGAGTAATCCTTCAAACCTTCCTAAACAAATCTCCATCTACAAACAAATCTCAATTGGCCTAGACAATTCTGAGTCTATACAGATCATCTCCACCTAACAGTGAGTTCTTAGTAGTTATTAATGAAAAGAGTATTACTGAGCCTTCCTAGACAATCTCCATCTATACCAAAGATTCCAGCCTAAGTCCTCTCAATACGTACTACAGTTGGCTTCTGCCTAACCATGTCTTATATATAACTGCAGCTTGGACATGTTTTATCATATTTTATTAATATTTCATGATAACTATTAGGAATTATGTATATACTACTTTCTTTGATTTATGGAATATTTCATTATCATTACATATTTGCTTAGACTTTATATTCCTAATTATTTCAGATTTACTGAAATTTCCCTCACACCCTCTCTGATTCATGCATGCTTATGAGAATATCTTAGCAGATTCTCTAGGTTAAACACACTTACTCTTATATTTTTCCAACTCATATTATAGTTTTACATGGTCATACTTCTATTTCTTCTTACTATGTTTCTCTATTATACGAAGTTTATGTAGAGGATACAAACCTGTATAATATATATAGGCATTACCACCTACTTTATTTACAAAGAATTAAAGACAAGAAACTCCATTAATCTACCTTCATACCTCTTACCTCCTAGCTAGAAACGTGCCTGTAATATACTCTTAATATTATGTCTGCGTAGTCTACATTACTACTAAGATCATACTATTCACATATTCAATAACTTTTACATTCTGAACTTCTTTTCAATTTACCTCCTGTGCTTATTTAAAGACTAAAATAGAATTTCTTACTCTTTATTTCTTATTCTACATACCAGGAATATTAAAGTATCTTAGATCTGGCATGCCTTAGACCTGGAATGACAAGAATTAGGCTAGCTCTAATACTCAAATCCAGAGGCTGTGAATCTAGGATCTGATAATTATAATTAATCAGGATTATACTATACCAATTGGAAGATGAAAATAATATGATATATTCTCACTTAGGATCAAATCTGAACAGACTGATTGGGGCACAGAAATACTCTAGACAAAGAAGATACATGAAGAAATTCAAAATGTATGGGACATCAGTGTAATAGGAAGGCTACTCCAGACATACAGGATACATGAGAAGTAACAGACATGTAGGGTATATTAAAACACAGTGCCCCTGTGTCAGATATGGGATAATCTTTTACTAATACTTCCTAAAGATATCTCCGTCTACATTAAAGATTCAAGCCTAATTTTTTTCAATGTACAATAGAGTTGGCTTCTGCCTAACAGTTGTGGCAGTCAGCTACAACTGTGACATAAGTAATCTCTTTATCTAATTGGAACTCAAACCAGACTTTATTCTTAGAGAAGAATTATAGAAAGAAAGATATGAATTGAGAGAATGTTTAAAATAATATGAAGTGAAAAATAATTAGAATTGGAGATACGGATAAAGCATTGTTTGGTACATCAACCCTAGCATCAATCCCATAACTGGATGAAAATTGTAGAAAAAAAGGCATCGAGTACTACCTACTGGAGAAGTGGTACACTAGCCTGGTCTCTACAGAACAATCGCCGGGAACTCTCGACCCCTTGGGTCTTTCGGGAAATATTCGTTGGGCGACTTACAAGGATACCAGGCGATATAATATTTAATAGCATGTATAAAGTATATAGGGCAAGCAGGTCAATGCCAGTATATTCACTTCTATTCAGAAGCAACAAAGAGAGTGACAAAAGAATGAGGAGAGAGAGATATTGCTTAACGACGACGAGAACGAATTGATCTGATAGAGAGCACTTAGGAAAAGAATAGCAACGTACAGAGTCTTTTACAGAGAGCTGGAAAGGAAACAATAGGAACGGAAAGAAGATGACAACATAATGAAAAATATGAAAATCACCACGATCCTCACTGTTCAAACAAGACGGAAACAAAACAAGTATCACAACTTGTATCACAACTAGTATCTAAACACTGGACTGTTCCAGTTCCAACGCCACATGTTTTATCACCACTAGCCCTCGTTTCCAACACTAGCGAGTGAAAAGATTTTCCAAACACCGATGCTTTCTGGTGAACCCGTCGAAACACTAGGCCCAGCCATAGTCTGTTTCAACAGCATGAGCCTCTAACATTGACCAAAGCATCCAAAAACGACGAAATTCACATCCAGCAATACATTTCCTCCGAACCAACAAACAAAACCCAGCATCACATAATTATGGGGAATCTACATTATAGAACAAGCCAAACTCCTGCACATAAAAGGATAAAATAGAGAAAAGTATAAAGAAAAATCCCTCAATGGAATAAAAATAAAAAGCCATTCTCACGAATCGAATTAATATATTCAGCTAAGCCAGGCCGCACCGCCCTATTGTCCTACAACACCCACTCCTACCCCCCACCAGCCAACCAGCCCATGTCACCAGTTCCAATCCATTCCCCTCTCGATGCACCAATTATCACTCGCTAGAACACATTCAAAGGGCACGGCAAGAAAAGAGACTGCAGTAAACGACAGGTAATTGAAATGTAAAGAGAAGAAAGAAAAGAAAGAAAAGAAGCTCAGATTTCCCCAACGATGCGATTGACGGTTATTTGCAGAAGAGCGTAAAGAGACTGTACAAAGTAGAAAAACCACAAGAGACATGAAAGGAAGAAAGGTCACCACATATCGTCGCTTGCAGATTTTGGTTCGTGCGGTGCTGACTTTGTGCTTCGTGATTTCGATGACCTACTCCCACTATAATCGCGGTCTCTGTCTCTATCGCGCTCCCGCTCGCGTCGGGGTTCAAGTGGCTGGTCGTAGTAACCGTTTCCATTCTCCGGGGCGTGCTTGGAGGTGTATTGTGCTGCGCGGGATTGTGGTCTATCCGTGTCGTTGGCCTCGTCGTCGTACATTTGGGAATCATCGACGTAGTCAGATTCGTTAGAGCCCTACATTTTTTTCACAAAAGCAAAGGATGTTAGTCACAAGTTTCTAAAGTACGAAGCTTTCCTTTAGTTCCTAGAACGTACATTATCGTATTGGTAATACTGGCTGCTCTGCTGCTCTGACTGTTGGTGCTGCTGCTGCTTCTGCTGTTCCCTTGATGGCTGGCTGACGGTTGCCTGCTGGACCAGATGCGGTTGTGTTTGCTGCACCTTTGCGAGGTAGGAATACATAAAGTTGCTAAGCAACACCTGCTGTTGTAAAGGTCTCCTTGGATTTGCGAGTTTTAAATGCGAGAGGCGATAGATGGCGCGCTCAATGTGGATTGGGAAACGAGTATAGTAATATGTCTGTTGAGGTTGGTGATGCGCCGGATCCGGAGAGACCCCCCTAGAGCTGCTACCCTTGGCCTTCTGAGCACCATCACCGCCAGGCTTCTTCCTCGAACTCCCAAAGAAGGAGAACAACCCCTCCTTCTCTTTCTTATCCTCACCCCGGGGCTTCCTAGCTTCCTTCTCATCCGTCTTGGACCCGTTGGTATCGCTGGTAATGACTTTCCCGGTATTGCCCAGATCGATAGACTTCTGCAAAAGATCCAATCGAGTATTATCATGCTTATCAGCCGATTTCGGGCGCTTCTCCTTCTTCACTTTAGTCTTCTCTTCCTTATCCTTCTTTTCGTGGTGGTGGTGGTGGTGGTGGTCCTTTTCCCTCTCTCTTGTTTTGTCCGCTGAATCCCCGAGCAACCATCCCCAGCTTGATTTGCGCCCCGTGCCCCCATCATTACTGCCCGCTGAATCAGGCCTCTTTCTCTCCTTCCCATCAGCCTTCCCGGGGTCCAAGAGTGGTACTGGTTCAGGGCCTCTACTAGCTAGTGCCGTAGGCGACGATACCACCTCTGTGACAACTTCAGAGGCTTGGGTCCTCTGTAGTGCAGGTCGTTGCGGTTTCGCCTGCCTTGGTAACTGTGGCGCTTGCGGTTGGGGTGGAGGGTCAAATGATGAATGCCGTTCAGGAATGATTAATTCCTGAGGTTGTTCTGGTGGCGGTGTTTCAACAATCAAGGGGACTGGAGGTATAGGCTCACTCTGCCGAGACCTTGATGACCCCTTAGGAGATGAAGCTCTCCTCTGTTTGGTAGGTGCAGATTTATGTTTTTCCGACGACTTACCAATGACATCGATAGAAACAGACGAACTACTTGCCTTTACAGCGGATCCCCTCTGAGAGGATCGTCTTGGGTAGTCATCTGGTTCATCCCTACGGGCAGTTGACAAGGGCATCGGCTCAGTTGATACGCGCTCTAATCGAAATCCGCCCTTGGAAACAATTGGTGAAGATGCTGGAGAGCTATCCTCCGCATCGGTCTCCGACGATTTAACAACCCTCTTCGGAAGAGGAACTCTTTCCCCCTTCCGCAAACTCCCTCTCCTGTAAGTCGTCCGAGTCGATCTTCTAAGAGCCGCCCCACCAGGCGCTGCATTCAGAATTGGCATATCCCCCCCTACAACCAACAATTAGAAATTGCTCCACCCCCCACAACGAGTATTTGATGGGAAGACAGCCCGCCTGCTCCTCTGGTTTCCTTACCTTCTTCATTCCTCCTTTCCACACTAAGTTTTCGCATAAGGCTGTTGGGATCATTCATCAAGTCCTCCAGCTGTACACTCGGCCCTTCCCTTCCCGACTCTCGTCTTCCCAACCTCTCAGCGCCATCCCGGTATCCCTTGACACCCTCCGAGCGGTCAATCTGCCTCGATAACATGGACTTCTTCCTCCGCAGCGAGGGACTACCAGAACCCGGTCCATCTGGCGATAAAGACCCATCCCTCTGCGGCCTCCGGATTTCACTCTTCTTAGCCTCTAGATAGGCACTAAACTCCTTAGGGGCCAACTCCGGGTGCAATCTCGCCGGCACCCAAAACACGCTCCCGGGATCGCCACCATCATCAGGGGGTGTCGAGGGAACAAAAGTATTGAACGACGGCAAATCGGGATCTGCCGACGAAGTAACATCCATAGACATCCGTCGGAGAGCCTGCAGGTTACTTATCTCCTGGGCCACAGCAATAGGATCAGATTCGTAGTCAATGTCGTTCAGCGGGAAGGGTTTGTTAGCGGTGTCACCGATTGAGGGTGATGATGATGATGATGATGATCGGATGGATAAGGTTGGCGAGCTGGGGGAAGCACGTTCATTGCCTCTGGGCCTACCATTGCCCCAGTCCCTAGACGACGAGGCGGTGGAAGAGGCGACCGATGACGAAAACACAGAACTATGTCTATTTCGTAAGGCTCCGGTGTTGGAGTAGGAGTCCGGTGGGAGAACATAACTTTGTCGTCGGCCATCTTCGTCTATGTACTCACCATACATATCACCTATAGCTTCTGTAACATGATGATCAGGGTCAATGGATAACCGGGAGTCGTGGCTAGAGGGGATGCCTCTAGAATCGCGTGCTCGTGAAGTAGCCTATAAATTGCAGGACCGGTGAGCTTCTCGTCACGTTGACATGTCCCCATAAACCAATTATGACGGCAGAAGCAAGATGAAGCAAGGATCTCTCCTTTAATTTTCCCAGCGGGTGAGGGATACAACAGCAGCAGGGAGGGGAGGTGAGCGAGGAACAAAGGGATTTTGGAGACACACCTTCATGGACGAGCTATGGGACTGTTTGAGATGAAGGTGAAGGATATCGAGAGCCTGACCACGGGCCTCCGGAGTGACAGTTCTCGAGCTAACAAGCTGTGGTCATCTGCTGCTGCTGCCTCTGAAATGGTAGGTTGCAAAAGCGTGAACCTTTCCAAATCGAGTGAGGTGGGGGGGAAGAGGATTAGGGTGGATGGATAGGTAAGTAGTAGTATTGATCGTTGAAACGGTCTGATCCGTTAGAAAGGAGGGAGAGCGGGTGTAGGTGTGGGGGGAGGGGGGGGCGGATTGTTGGAGTGCGGGTTGAGGGTGGAAGAGAGAGACAAGACGGACGGATGAAATGTTATTTTAGCGGAGGCTCATGCAACGCCTCCCTTGTTTCTCCTTTTCCAGTCTTCTTCTTTTATTCTCTTCTTCCCCACCGATTCCTTCTATCATATAACCTACAGCACTTTCCCCTAATATCAACAGCCCGTTGAATGAAAAGATATGCGGGAAAGGTACAGCAAAAATAGAAGGGAAGAAAGGATCGCACCGTACCCTTACACTCCTTCGGAGGAAATAAATAAAAAATGGTCGCCGATGCTCCCCAACCAGAGATCTAGCAGTGAACGGCTAGCTGGCAGATGCGTCCGCAAGGGAGTTCGGCCGGCTTCCAGCGTTCCACAAGCGGAGAGGGGGGAAAGGGGGAGAAAGGATAAAGCCTGCTTGCTGTCTGTCTGCTTCTGCTCGTGTTCAAAGCTCAAGGGGCAAGTGCAAGAATCTCGCCTCTACAAAATAAACTCTCATGGAAGGTGATTATGATAATAAGGTTAATTCAAGGAATAACCAAACACCTTCTCCGAGTAAAATAAAAAAATAATGAGAATAAGATAGGAATAAATTTTCTCCTCTCTCCCCTTACGCCAAAAATATAGTAACATCGCTAAAGAGTAGCGGGTCGTACTCGTACAGTTATTGCATCATGAAGAAACGTCTCGAACAGCAAAAGTTACTGTACTCGTACCTCATTTCATCCCCATTCAAAAAAAAAACAGGGAATCAACCGCCATTGTTCGCCTCAATCATCTCGCATGGCAAGATTGAGTCCTGATATGATACCACCCATCAATTTCTCACGGCCCCAGCCAACCAGCCAACAACAGACACAAACGTGTTATTAAGCGCTCCTCGCGCACCACCAGCATCCTCACCCCTGATCCCCTTTAATTTGACGTGCGCGCGCGCGAAGAATGGCAATAAAGACCATAAACCCTTCGCCCCAGTCCAACCTTATCGCCCTTTAATCACGATAAGACGTCAAGTTAACTCTATGATACCATACCAGCTTCTGCTTTCTACTTGTGCAGAACAAAACACCATAGCATGGTACGAGGTATGATACCGTAGCCTAATAGCCCCAATTATAAACAAAAACTAATCACGGGTATTATGCAGCTACCCTATTCCCCGGGTGCACATGACCAGTGCATGGGATATCACTCGAGTGGGATAACATGTCATATCATACCATGCCGTTATTATACCAGCACAGTATAAGCGAAGTTGGAGGAGGGGAATTATGGGTGTGATAATAATGCACACAGCTTAGGAATTTTCCCAAGTTATCATAAATCACAGCAGGACCGGTGTAGTGATGGCCGGCCACTCGAGATCTCAAGGGGGTTTGGAAATAATTTGCTCTCATCCGCAGGCCAGCAACACCCATCTCCGGGTAATGCGGGGAGATCTTGTGGGAAGCTCTCTCTCTCGCATTTTCTACCGAGCAAGAGGTACAAGTAAGCCTTGTTTTCGCTCACTTTATATCTCTCCCCACCTCTTCCACCCATCCCTCCCCGCCTTCCGGGTATGCCTCGCACTATTAAACGGGCGGGAGGGGGGGGGGTAAGTTAAGTACCGTACTATGGAAGAAAGGAATGCAGCACATCTGATTAGATCTTCTATGATATATCATTACGTTGCCTTGTCACTCCTGCAGCCCTCTTACCTGAGATATGATACTACGATCTACACGACTCAATCCCATCCAAACACTCTCCACAGAGATGGTAATCGAGTGATTCACAACCATAAAAATATTATGAAAAGGCCCGCAGGACAGGACAGGCACAAGACGAGTATAGTAGTATCATACCAGTGGGTCACACACACACACTCTCTCTCTCCGCCACCGCCGCCCAAATCACCACGAATGAGTGGGTCAACACTCCAAATACCACATGCCAGAGAAAATCGGAAGAAGTTGCCACCGTGTCACCAGGCAAGTCGTAGATGGTCCACATCTACCGCATCCCACCGCACATCACCAGACCCATCGACCCAAAGAGTGAAAACATGATATTGTATTCCCATCCTCATCTTTCATTCATCCCATCCCATCCCATCCGGCTTGCCAGCTAACTTAACTGCCTTCAGATTCGCACCCATCTGCCGCATGTTACACAATACCCTACGTATGCATACATACAAAGGGAAAAAAAATCGAATATATAATACATACAGCACGCTGACAATTATATACCAAAATTTACATCTCTTTTTCCTCACTTCGCAACGCAACAGCCTGATATTCGATCATTGCAAAAGAGCGCGCGGCCAAGAAAACTCTTTCGTCGCGCGCGCAGCAGCAGCATAATAATATAGTTACTAAAATCCTGGGCGTTCTCCTGTAGACCTTGGCAGCGTGTGAACATTTGGGATCAGCAGTTTTCAGATCAGGTACAGTACAGTATCATACATACGGTACTCGAGTACAGTAACTGTATCATACAGTACATTTTTTCCGTTGTGGACGGACCCCTGCGGATATTTGGCACTCATACCAAGATTTACGCCCTCTCTCCACCGAACCATCCGCGCCGGACAAACCCCGACTTTGCTGGAATAACGCACACACCCAAAATCCTTAGACCCAGGGATACTTGTTCATATATCTATAATATTATGGTGGTTCATGAGGGGGGAGGCATGGAACGTCTAAGATTAGAATGGTAATTTTATTTGACGTTTGGGTGTGGTTTTGCCGTGTTGCCAGGAGATGGTAGTATCATAGTGTACAGTACAGTACATTTATGGCCCGACGATGACCAGTGAACCATGAACTAAATTAAATTATATGCGGAACGCACAAAGCACACACAAGCAAGCAATTATTTCGCGCCAAAAATAAGATAAAAATAATATCTTATAAAAATTTAATAAAAGACAAACTCATTCGTGCCCGCTTCCGTGATTAACCGTTAACCTTAGCAAGAGGGAAAGGGAAGGAAGTTAGTGTACAGTACTGTATCATACAGTAGTAGGGTATACAAAAACAAGACACGCCACAGCTTTTTTACGTATAAATTCCCCATTATAATGATAAAAAATTAATGCCAGTGCAATTACGCATTTTTTCACCTTCCTTCCTCCACTTTTCTTTCTTTCTCTCTGGAAACAATATCCAGGAGGGAAGAGAAGGGAAAAGGAAAAATAAAAGCAGGCAATGTCTTTGTAAATTTATCGAGTTAAGGGGAAAAATTGATGTGTGCTGAAGGAAGGGAAGAATTTACGGACATATGCTACGCTGCAGCGCCGGTTGAATAATGAAGAAAGATGTATCATTTCAGACACCGCCTAATACCGTAGACATTCATTACCTATCTATCTACCTCGCTGCTGTGATAGAATGAGATATGATGACCGATTCGGGGGTGAAGGGGATTAAAAGAAATGTTAATAAATGGTAAAAGATACAGCGGTGAAAATGAAGAAAAAATAGAGTAAAAAAAAAAAAAAAAATACAGGCCTCCCAGCGAAATTGAAGTTGAAGGTGAGTAAAAGATGAAGATGAAAAGGCCAGGGTAGAATTAGAATGTCGTGACCAAACGGAGGAATATGGAATAAACATCGCACCGGGTGAAAGAAGTGAATAACGGATCCGTGAATTTGAGGGAAAAAATTGAAAATTGAAGCCCAAATCAAGCTAAGAGGAAAGAGTACCAGAAAAGAAAAATAAAGAATTTTGTTTCCGCAAAACCCAGGGTGAAATCAAATAACCTTAGCCCCCCTTCCCCTTTGCTGCTCCCGCAAAAATCAAAAATCAGAAGGTTTAAACGCCCATATCCAGAGATTTCTTGCTTTCGTTTTTTTTCTCCGCCGCCGTGGTATTGTTTCCATTTTTCCATGCTTTTTTCGATTGGAGGAATGCACCGTTAACGTATTTCCCCTTACAGCAGTATTGATCCGAGATACCCGTGCCGTTGGAGCGTTTCGGTATCGAGTTGCTTAATTCTCACAAGGTCTGTGGTGTCCCTGGGACTTCGCTCTCCGACAGCTAGCTCGGCCAAATGCTGGAGACTGCCATGGCCAGGTGGAATTTCAGGGGGTCCACCGCCGGACCCACCAGTTTTGTCCATCTTCCTACGTATAACCAGGTCTTTGATTGCCCTATCCCATCCGAAACTATCTTCGGCAGTGGCAATGCCCCTTCGTTGCTCCAAGGCATCGGCCAACTGTTGAATACCTTTCAAAGCATCCTCTCTTGTCTCCTGAACCTCAGCAAGGTCCACGAGAGTCACCAGTGCAAGAGCTGCAAAGTGATGGTTGAGTGGAGTTATTGGTGTATTAGGGCTCGCAAGCATCGTGACAACCCTGGAGGCCGGCCCTAGAAGCTGGTGTGGTTCGGAGGTGGGATTGTGCCTCAGTACGAGTAGCTTAACATGGTAATATGCCACGTGGAGGAGGTTCGGCGAACCCCATATCCCATCAACGCTTTCACGGAACCGCTCAAGCTCGCCACGTAGTAGCTTAGAAATAAAGGGGTTATGCAAAGCTGCCGAAACAGCTTCATCGGAGGTGGTAAACGCCTCTGCCAGATGTCCCAAAATGCAAGATAGGCCTGTTGGGCTCAGTCAACCTCGTTGCTGCGGAATGTTGGTTCGATATTCAGACTTACGTGCAACATGAAATGGGACTGATCCAAGCAATGGATTGTCCTCTGGTACTAAAACAACACTGGAATCTGGGATAAATAACGGAGTGGATGTGCTTATCGCATGCCAGCGATCCAAGATCACCAGGACCCACCATGCCCGTCGGCCCAGCCTCTCATCGGAATCCGAATCTCCATTGGCATACTTTCCCCGACTCCGGTTCTGATGCAGCTTCAGATTGTAGGCCAGACCAACGGCCGCGCCAAGCCAAACCGCTCTCGGCGGCCCGAGTCCGCGCATCGTAGCCGGGGCACGATTATCAGATTCCAGGCCCAACAAAATCATAGTTTGAAGATACAAGATATTTGTAGGCATCGATCTAACGACAGGGTTATCGAATTGAGAGGCCAACGTCAATTCACATGCTTTCTTTGTATCTGTTGGCGGTGAATTAGGTCGAAGATGTGATGATGGGTTCGATCGTATGGTAGCATGCAGAGCCTCTAAGAAAGCCTCCCTAACTGTAATAGAAGTGTTCGCTAACCGTTGGTGAAGACGGTCCTTTGAGTGTGGAAGAAGGGGAAATGTCGGATGTATCAACTCATAGTATCTGTCACGAGGTTAAACGATCGTCGAGTGAGCTTCATAAAATATTTTGAAAATGTATCAAAATGTATGAAGATATATATAAGAGGCTGTTGGGATTCTTAGGATCACTCACTGATCAATTATTTCATCATCCCATTCAAATCCACTTATATCCCCAGGCGTTGAGCCAGCAGCAGAGCGCCCAAGATCTGGCGATTCAAACGGAAAACTTACACTTGCACGCCGGCCGCCGACATCAGGAACTGATTTCCAATACTGACCCATACCATTTGGCGATAAAGTAGCTCTATAGCCAGGCGCAGAGGGCTCAGCAGTTGAAGGAGGGTGTTGGCGTGACGCCTGATGAGGCGGAGGCGGGGGTGGTGGAGGTTGATGTGCATGGGTAGACGGGGCTTGCTGGGGGTGTGGCAGCTGCCGCTGTGGTTGCGATTCATGCAGAAGCTGTGCTCTCTGTTGATGCTGATGTTGTGTCGTGGGATGAAACGAATCAATAGAAGGTAGTCGTTCATTCGACCTGGCCGTTGGATTAGATTGAGACAACGGCTGAAGGTGTACCGAAGATTGAAAATCGCTAGATGTCGACAAAGCTCTCTTCCTAGACCGCCCCTGTGAGCTGGGTGGCCCAGCTGGTGGAGGCGACGTCGAATCCGAAGGACCGGGTGACTGATCTCCTTCGCCGGCCATACCCGAACCGTAAGATGAATGCATGTCACCCGTAGACATGGAATTTTCAAGAGTATTTAATCTGTCGGCCAGCTCTTTGATGTAGCTGGGACGTGGAAATTAGAGCGGAACTGGTAAAAACTATGAAAATCATTTCCTCTTACCCTTTGCTTGGCCCGCGTTTCATGGGAACCCTGCTGAAAGAACACTTGGAGCCGACTCGCTTGCAGCTTGAGCATTGCTCAACACCAGATTCTGAAGTCGCGTCACATCGTATCTATAGGGAAGGAAATTTAGTAATAAATTGTGCACATGGAGGATAGAATTGCTACTTTTTTTCGTCGGCACTCGTCGCAGGCGCGCGAAACTTTAGACCTTTTTCGCGGCGCCGTATCGCCCGTAACTCCCTCGAGGCCCTGCGAAGAGTCACTTAAACCCAGAGATACAGTCCTGGGCGATACTGGTTGTCGCGGGTCATTTTGTGAAGGTCCTGGGGGTGAGGCGCCCGGCATTGAAGAGACTATTGGAGGTAAACCGCGCGGTATATTTCTTTCTGCGGAGGATAAGTGCATGGAGTCCTGTGGAGAGAGTCGCTGGTGGTGCGAGAAAAAATTAGTCGAACTACCATCTCCCGGAGAGTTCGTTGGGTTGTATTGAGGCTGCACAGGCTGCGCCTGGTCAGTTCGGATTTGGTGTTGGTGATGCTGCGTGATTGCACGTGGAGTGGTAGAGGGCGGCGAAGAGGCGAACAAAAGCGGACTTTTTGACCGAGAAGAGCTACCTGCAACTGCAGGAACCGCTGCCCCGGCAGCCGAGGTTTGCGATGGAGTGGCTGCAACTTCGGCCATTGCCATGGCAGAACGTTAAAGAAGGAGTGAGAAAAACCGCGATCAGAGTAATAACATAATTCGTCCACTAACTTTCTTTCTTTTCTTTTGGGGAGAATCTCTCTTCTGCTAGGCAAAAAATATTCGCATTTGGGGGCGTGATATGAGTGGTGGGTTGGCTTTCTTTTTTGGGGGGGTGACTTGGTATGTACGAATGTGTATGTATGTACGATGAGCGGAGTACCTTATTTATCGAGTGTATATACGCTATTTGTGGAGGGCAGCAAGATATAATGCTCGGGAAAGAAAGGATGGAAGTGTGGACGGATGAACAGATGAAGATGGAGGAACGGTTGGTTAGGTTTGAATGGCTGGGTGGGTGGACGAGGGGGCGGATTGGGAAATGAGCAGCAGGAGAAAGCAGGACGAGCAGGAGCAACAGGAAAGAGGGCTTGGAGGATGAGAAATGTGCTGCTGGGGTGTGTGTGGGGGAGCGGGGAAGTGAGTAGAGTAGTAGTGGTAGCGCAGGAGCAATAGTACCGGGAGTAGTGAAGGAAGGGTCAACTGGAGACGGTGAAAGGAGGAAAGCAGTATGAATGATTGGAAGGGGTTTGAAGGGAGGGGGGGTGTGGGAAGAGAATGAAAGGGGAAGATGAAGAGAAGGGGGGAAGAGAGGATAAGATGGATGGAGGAAAAATGACAGAAGAAAAGATGGGTATGAATAGTATGGGGTACCGTAAAGGGATCTAGAGTTTAAGTGGGTGCTGGTTACGGGAAGGCGATGATAATGATGGTGTTAATGTAATGAATGGCCAGACAAAGAGGTGATGATGATGAGTGAGTGAGCAAGTGAGAGACGAGACGAGCCACCGCCAGCACCAAGTGGGCAAACAGTCGGGTCCTCCGAAAGTCTCGAGCAAAGGGCAAGGAGGGAAGGGAGAGGAGGGAGCGACCTTGCAACCCAAAATGAGAGAAAGGTGCGGGGGCTTTTTTGGGTTTCGGGAGAAGGAAAAACGTGGGAAAGATATGGGGAGACCGGAAGAGGGGAAAAAAGTCGGGGCGAGGGAGAGACCCCAGATTGCTCTCTCAATCAAGTGTGCTAGGTCTCTAACTGTACCCCGGACGCCGGCTGTGGGTTTGTGGTTTGCCAAAATGTAGATTTATATTTCACTTGGGCGCTGCTGTCATTGATCCCTACAAGTACTGTGGAATAACCTGTATACCCTTCATTATATATATATATATATCAACCTCGAAGTAAGTAAGTATAGTTTTCACTGTTGCACTGACCGAGGACCAAGGTTGCCCAGGTTTGTTTGGCACGCAACATCTTTAATCCTGCTAGGGTTACCGTACAGTACAAGTACTTGTACAAGTACTGTACGGGGGGGTAACCCTCGGGTTGTTGAAAATCGAAATATGGGCACCAGTATCGTGCTTTGGAGGACGGGAGATTAGGAAGGGTGACAGAAAATGAAAGAAGTGAGAAAAAGGGAGAGAGAAAAAAAAAACTTTCCACAAGGGACCCAGTTCCTAGTCTCTAGTAAACCCCCCCCCTTAGTCCCACTCCCACGGGCCGGACAGGGCGTGCCACCTGTGCTCACCATATCGGAGCTCTCCCTTTTTCTGATTATGTTTATTATGAACCGGTATCATTTCGTACATTTTTACTAGTTAAAACTTCTGCTGACTGGACTGTGTAGGAGGAATACCGGCACCGTTATGTGTTGAATCGCTGGTACGGAACTGCAGCATTCAGTTGCGTGCAATCCACTCTTCTCACTCGTAAACGGCTATCACCGCTCGTAGAGTACGATAGCCCAAAATGCTGCTCGAGTACCGGTGCCGTACCTCAGAGCACGATCCGGTGCCCCAAAGCCCCGTCGTTTCAGAGTCAAGCACTGACTGAGCTTTCCTCCCCATGCGCCGCAGAAGCGGGAATAGCAGGCTCCACTTGGCCCCGTGAGCCGGGAAGACCGAGGGCCGTCAGTACCAAATCGAATTGATGACCGAACGCTGGGAAGGGGGGAAAAAGGAAAAATAAAACAAGAGGGAATGAATGGGGAGGGAAGAGGGAAAAGGGAAAGCAGAAGGGGGGCTTGTCGTTGCCGCTGAAGTGAACTTTGGTGTGGGAACTGGGGACGGCAAATTCTGGGGCAGTGGGAGACCGGGGGTATGGGCGCCACTAAGAGAACAGCATTTGTGGAACTCGTGATGATATACCGGTATATATTGCAAGCACTCCACATGTCGGTCGGTACGGTACGATATATTACGGCAATGAAGATTGCTGTAAATAAACATGATAAACGCTCGCGAGGCAAGTGCAGCAAGCAAGCGAGCGGGCGAGAAAAGAGGCAGAATCAGATATCCAAACGAGTGGCAACCATACCGGTGCACTACACCCTGTTCCCAGAATTGGAGGGGAAAAAGAGACTGTGAAGAAGGGCGCACAGACACTTCCAATTGACAGCGGAGAAAATAATCTCTTACCCCGATGGATATGCATATTTTCGTCCAAGAACGATAAACGAAGAAAACCATCTTTGTGAAATGAAGAAGGAAAAAAAAGGATAACAGAGAACAAAAAAAAACCATTTTATCAACAGTTCTTACCCTATCCCATCAAGTTAACTTATCGTTGAGATAGTCTATCCTAAAATAATTACCGGGTTTAAGTTTTGTGACCACTGTAATTGTTCCATCGTCGCTCACGCTCAAGTTAAGAGAGGTCTTGTCCTTCCTCACTTGTCCTGAACCCCCCATGGGTAAGAAATGCAGCGCCTCAATTCGCCCCACCCTCCCACACCCCGGGAATATTGTCTCAAACCGAGCAGAAAGAGTTTCTCCGGAAATCAGATACGATACGGTAGGAGCGTGAGCAGCCAAGGGGAGGGAAGGAGCTAGCCGGTTTGTTTCTGGGCAAAACAGGGAAAAGCCGAGTGCCGCATCCAGTCTACCTCTTTCAACTGGGACTGCCCGTTGTTGGCGTTTAAGGAAAGGTGGGGTTAGAGCAGGGTTAGAGCAGGGTTGCTTCTCCTTCTTTCTTATGGATCCGGGGGTTGGAACCACGGATTGCGGAGAAAAAGGCTGGTGTCGTTGGAATTAGCCTCTAGGAAACAAGCTCCAACCCCGATGATAGCCCCGGCCTTCGAATTTTACGCTCGAGAATCGACTACGGTATTAGAATACCCTGAATCGGTGTGGTTTAAAGGCCCACTGCACTGCACTGCACTGCATGATACTGTACGAGTACTAGTAACTTACTCGTACTGTACTGTACCGATATTCCAACAATTCTTCCCGGATCCCAAAAGTTCTGTGCGCAACTCGTTAAATAAACATTGGTTTCACAAAGCACGAAGGACAGCCCGTGTCAGAAAGGAATAGAAAAGCAAAAACAAAAAAGGAATTAAACGAAAACCCTAAAATAATGGTGTCACCAGTACAGTATCAAGAGCCCCGTCTTTCCTATCACGAGTAAAGGAATGCAAGAATAGGGGGAGAGAGAAAAAGCATGCAACACTCGGTTACGAGTACTATCCATAAAGGGAGTCCGGGGTACCGTAACTCTCAAGCATGGCTGGGCTCCCGTCGTGAAGACCGCACAGGGGAAATGAACTGCAGTTTCTATATGCACTCCCTATTATTTGGGTAGTACAAAAGACCGAACAATAATCCTTCAGAGGCAGTACCGGTAGTAAAAAAATCCGAATGGGATCGATCCCAAGGAGAGGGTGAGAGAACGAGATACAGCTCCTCTTAGCCCCGGTCGACGATCCACCTTCTTTCGGTGACCACGGTTAACCCCTCTTCATGATCACCTCCGGTCGGACACTGAGCGACAAACTATTGAGCGTTGCCGTTATTGTGCAATCTGAAGTTTTCGTTGAAATTTCGGGGATTTATCGAAGCGCATGCAACCGGTGCCACTCTAGTAAAATTCATTCATACCATGTATTGTGCCTAGGTTAGACAAAAAAACCTGTCCTCGATATCGACATTCAATTGGCACACGCAGCGTGAGGAATGAACCCAAAAGACACCCTTTCCCTAATCTCACCTTTCTCTCAAGCTCTGCTCTATCCAAAGGAGTCTCTTAATCTAGAGGACCTTCTTGGAGCGATGAAAGTGGAGGCAAACAAGAAGCCCAACTACAACCCCACTCGGAGCTAAAAAGCGCCAACTACAAGGAACACAACGACGGTGGTCCTAGGGTCTCTTGTGGGCTTGTTTTGCAGCAGCGGTACTCGACTCAATAGAAAAAATAACGAAGTACAGACTCTGGCCTTTGGTGGTAATTGAGAGTTCGCCTGGGTTTAGGGACAATCCACACTTGCTGAATTGGCCAGGAGTAACCACCTGATCTAAGCACCATGCGAGAAGGTACTGGTTAAGGGTAATTTAGCAGTGTTTTGGATATTCCTGTCGGCTGGGACCGAATCGCCAAGACGGGGCGCGGATGTTGGAAATCGTTAGACACGATAGGAACAAGCTGTCGCTTGATTTCCCTGCCGATTTCCGGAGCCATGGAAATTCAATTCAAAAGTTCCTGTTCGCCGCCCTTTTCCCAATCACTGGCCGAATAGGGAAGATAAACGAAAAAGTGAACAAATCGTTTCTGTTATCTATGGCGCCATAGAACCCACAAACTTCCTCCGACGGAAGCGGCGATCATTAGAGGGTATTTTTTTTGTTTCGGTTTTCTCTTGCTCCTTTGCTTTTCCATTGTGCAAAAAGGCGAAAACCGGCGGTTTCCACATAGCAAACGCTATTATATAATCGTTATCCTGAAAGGGAATCCATGGAGTCGTGATCCCTCGCCCCATAAGAAATCATACCCGGGGGCGGAGGAGGGGGCATCTGACAGGTCAGCTCCTGTTCCCACCCTCCACTAAGCCTTTCTCGCTTCGCTTACCCTACCTGCGTACCCAAGCAATGAAATTCCATCCTCATGACCGCCCAGCAGAACAATTTTCCGCTTCGCCCAAAGAAAAGTGGGGTCCAGTTAGCAAAAAAAAAAAAAAAAAAAAGGCAGCCCGTTTCCCCGTCGACGACCCGGCTCCGATTGATGGGGGCAAGTCCGGGTTGACCCAATTTCCGAAAGGGTAATGGATCGTCTTGGACACCGGTGCTAGAAAGGGACCACCATACAAGTACTAGTACTCATACTGTGCAAATTTATCTAGATTTTAGCCTGGACTAAAAGGAAGAATTGAGAGGAAGCTTGATTTGGCCATCCTGGATTTTCCTATCATCAATCAGATTGCTCGAGTGGGAATTGGGGGGGAGAAGGATAAACCGCATGCTTGGTGTAAACCTATCCGAGGCCGCGGGAGAAGACACATAGTCTACAGGGAGTGAAGGAGGGGAAAGTATGCCAGTGGAGCAGGGCTAGGATTGGGGGGATTGCCGGTAGGATACTGCAGAGCCAAAGTTCGTCACTAGCGAAGTCCTCATCATCATTACTTGTACTCGTAGATTGGGTTCAAACAGGGAACTAATCCCCAATCATCATGGAAAAAATTAAGATTCCAGACAAACTCGGGGTAATAATTTCCGGCTGCTGAATTTGGAAAGCCAAAGGGAAAACTCAAGTGTTTTTTCACTCGATCAGATTACCGATATGAAAGGTGAGGTCTGTACGAGTAAACGTTGAGGACAAGGACGAGGGCATGAACAATTGATTGATTGATTGTGATTGATTGTGATCGAAGAGCGGGAGAGAGGATGGAAGGGAGAAGGAGGTTCCATGGAGTAGAATCTGCGATCTGTGAGAGGGTAAAATGGGGAAAATCAAGTGTCAGATTCATTCCTTTCCCTCGGATTAATTTCGGCGAAATATTGCTACATAATTATTATAATTATGATACCGTTGTTTTTCCCGTCTCCCGCGTTGGAGTCCAAGAGAGTTTCTCGGTACGGTAATTTGCGATACCGACTGCCAGTCGCTCAATATCGCATCTACCCTTCGTCCCTCAGTGCCTCAATGCCTTCTTGTCACTTCCTCAAGTGCCCTCCACCCCACCCGATAGCATGCTTTAAGGGCAGCACTCGTCAATGGCCCGTATAAATAGAATAATCCGAGCGGTACATTTCTGCGCGGCATCAATTGGAATGCTGGGGTGAGGTCTATTCGGCGGTACGGACCACTAACGGCACCGTACTTGTCGAGTACATTGAGTGCAGTTATTTTTTTATTTATTTTCTCCTCTCTTATTTCACAGGCACAAGATAACCCCCTAGGATACGGTACCATACTGTGCTTTCTTATGTGGTGGATAGGTAAGGTCTATCATCTTTGAGGGCCTGGCAGTAAATTTATGTCCGGCTGGTAACTCATTTAAGCTCGCTCTCATCTGCGTGCAAGAAGATCATGATCAGAGGGCCAAGCAACCGTTGGATCACGTCAATTGGGGTGCCACTTCCCAGTGCTTACGCAAGAACGACAGCCTCGCACTTGGATGCACAGAATGCCAACGGCTCCCTCTCCTCCTCCTTCCCTCCTCACCCCTCCCTCTCTCTGCCCACATACCATGCCGGTATGTGTGAACGAGTTCTTCCCAGGACGATATTAATTAGATCCCATACGAGCACTGCACAGTTTACAGCATTCCACTCCGAGCACCTACACCAGAGTAGGTAAGGTGATTGTCAGTATGGAGTCAGGACGTGCCTACCGTATTGTGCTTCCACAACTTTGCATCTTATTCGCGACTAGCAGGTCATGAGGTCGGGTCCTCTGAGGCAAGTACGGTTTGGTTGAGGTGAGGCCGGTATCTGGGGGGGGGGGCAAGTTATTTTATTTTTGAAGTTTGATGAAGATGATTTGATAATGCTCTGGGACTTTGACAAATTTTTATTATTGTTAACCTACTGATATACATACCCAGTAATCCATCAATAGCAGGCCGGCCGGGTGGGGAGCTCCCACTCCAACTGTTATCGGTACCAGGGCAACTGCGGATATCTTGCGGCGGGCGTGGGAAAGATTTTCTAAGTAAAAGAAAAGAAAGGAAAGGAAAAGAGGTTCATGAAGACGACAGGCCGCCCCGCTTAAAGATTGGCGTGTGTGAGGTCGCTTCACTGAGCCACAGAGCAGGGAGCGGTTGCCCTGCTGTGATTGGCTAAAGCGGAGGGGAGAGTGGGAATGGGAGGGAGGAAAGGAGCAGGGGAATGATGATGGAGTGGAGGGAAAACTGAGTTGTCCTGTAATAGCCTGTCCTTTCGTGTTTTTCCTTTGGAGAAAGAGTTCGAGTGAAGAGCCTTTTCTCCTCTTTTCTTTTGTGGTGGTGGTTCTTTCCTCCGTTCCCCCACGCCGCAGTGCTGGCTCAGTTATGTAGACTAGTGGGCAGACAAGAAGAGCACCCATCCCACGCATGTCTGCCATTCTTGTCTGTCTTTCGGAGTGTGTGCTGTTTGGGTGTAAAGACGCAGCTAGCATTACCGTTTCTCCGTATTGCACCTTTCTCCTCTCTCTATGTTTTTTTTTTTTTCTTCATATGGTCTCCTTCTTGCACTGTACGTTTTGGTTGAGCCCGACCAGCCAGCCAGCCTTGCTCTGCTTGCTTGCCTCACTCAGAAAAGAGCTGCCCGCTTTCCCGGGGCGCTCCTGCTTTCCTGCTGCTTTGCTCCCTCTGCTTTGCTCTGCTTTCCTTGCTGCTCCTGTTAGAGTTGCAGATTTACTGGAGCCGTGCCGCTGCTTGCCTGCTTGTTCTCTTTTGCTTTGCTCGTACGTCGTTGTTGCTTTGCTCGCCCTTCACTCACTACCGCACATCACCCGGACCGTCCATCCACCTTTCAGACTTCCAAGTCTGCCTTTTTCTGTGGCTGCTTGTCCATCCATTCGCCTATCTTGGGGCCCTTTTTTTCTTTTCGCGTAGAGTGTGTGTGCAAATAATTAGTACGGGTACCATACTGCCAGTCAGACAGCAAAGAGGAGGGAATACCCATTCCATTACCTTACTACTCCCATTACCATACACACCACACCCACACCCACATCTTCGCTTTGGCTTTCTTCACCTTGAACTTACACACGCGCGCCCTACATGCCCTACATGCCTTACCTTGCTACGCACACTGGAGAGAATAGCGAACGATAGAGGTTCAATAGTCTACAGCGGCGGTGCATGTGTGGGATTTGCGTGGCTCTCTCTTGTGTCATCTAGCTTTATCTAACATCTTCATCCATCAACCTCTGTCTTCTGTCTGTCTCCTTTTCTCCAACCAGATTCGTTATCCTTACTATCACACTCTTCGCTTCTCACACTTTCGCCTCCACCCTTTCCACCTCTATTACCAAGGCCATCTCTCTCGCTCTCGCTCTCGCTCTCACTCGCAGATTTTTCATGGTACATATATACAATACATGAATTCAATACGTACATAAATACCGATACATATCCATACATATTTCCCACTTCATCTGCTCATTCCTGCCTGCCTTAAATGTGCAGAGAGAGACACCGAGAGAGAAAGACAAGAGAATCAAAGATCTCTCTGTGTGGACCTTGAATTCTTGAGGAACTAATTGCTCCTTCCATTTCTCTCCATCAGTCATTCCTTCTTGTTCTTTTCCACAAGCTTCAACAAGAAGGAAACTTATTATCATCATTTATTTTACTACTATTTTTTCCATCTTTTGCTTGCTTAGATCTACCATACCGCACTTCTCTTTCTCACCTCACCGCCGGATTAACCACCAGTCAGCAACGCCTGGCAGGGGTGGAAAGACAGCCGCTCCGCCAATCCGCGGCCACGCCAGGGCCATCCAATCCTCCACAGACTCTCACCGATCCTTGCTCGTACCCTTCTTTCGCTTTTTGTGATTCCCCGTGAAAGCTTCCGTTTCTCGCCTGCTCCCACAACCCACCCCCTCTCTCCTCCCACCCACATCCCGGCCTTATCTTCTACCTCCTCCTCCTCCTCTCTCTCTTCCTCTCTTTTCTCTCTCTTCCTCTCCCTTTTCTTTCCTCTTCTTTTTTCCCTCTTCTTTCCTTTCTCTCATCCCTTCACCACCTCCGCACCTTGGAACGGTCAGGAAAAATTCAGCTGATTTTGGTGTCCCACTCGGTCTTCCGCGTGAACGCTTTCAAAGCCGGCGCCAACACGGCCCGTGCAAGGCGAGGGGTCCTCCGTTTCCTGAACTGAAAGTGTTTCTTTTGCGTGGCGGCGTTTTGGGTGTGTTTTGCTTTACTGCTCTTCGGCGAGGCATCAAAAGCCAGTCAATCAGCGACGAGATATACCCTTGAAAGCAATTTTGATACTTTTTTTCTTTCCATTTTCCTAAAAAAAAAAAAAAAAAAGGAACACTATCAAAGAGTTTTCTCTTATTCTTTAAATCTACATATTTTCCTTGATCCTGTTCCATATCTGCTCGACCTGAACTGGACTTGACGAGCTCCTACCTTATACTTCAACCTTCATAGAAGAGGTCTGGTCCTACTGAGAGGAAAAGGGAAAGGAAAGGAAGCAGATAAGAAAGAAGTCGCCCCAATTTTTTCTTTCTTCGTCACATACTAGCAATTAGCTCGTTTACCATTCGACTTACATCGAACGGCGTTTCATTTGCTTTTCACCATGATGATAGATGGTGTTAAAATGGCTTGCGAGGCCTGCATCCGGGGTCACAGGGTGAGCGGGTGCAATCATTCGGGTCAGTTACATTATCATCTCAATCAAAATCATTCTTCCTCTGTTCCTCTGTGCCCTTTAAACATTCTCTCCATCTTTTGATACTTCGAGCTTGATACCTTTTGTCATCTCTCCTCCTTGCTTCACAGGCACTAACGGGGAGATACAGATCGTAAGCTCTTGCCGATCGCGAAAAAGGGCCGTCCAGTGTCTCAGTGTAATCACTGCCGTCAGATGCGGAAGGCTCGTTCTGCCCATGTTAAATGTGATTGCGGCGAGAGACTTGCTTTGTTGAAGGAGTCAAAGGCAGCTGGAAAGCCCGTCCCGGCTACTGCCTCTGCATGCCACTCCTCGACTACTCCTGCTACGGCTGCACCGTCAGAGGAAGGCGATACTAAAGGTAAAGGATAATTTTCTCGATCATCATCACTAGGATTAGGGCTAATATTTGCCGGGGAGAAAAAAATAGACCCTTCATCGGCTTGCCTATGTTGTCACGGAGGACGTTGCACATGCGCACTGAAGAAAGAACATTTGGATTCTGTTCCTGAGTTAGCTACACCTGCCACCTGCGCTTCAATAGCCCCTACCACAACTGCCACAGCCACGGTGGAAACCCGAAAACCTCGTCTCCAAGCGACGCACTCTGAGGGCTCCCTTACCACCCTTCACACTTTCGCCAACGGGCATCACCGACCGACCCACAAGCATCATGGAAGTATCCATGGATCATCTCCTTACACAATCCCACATGTCGGTCACACAGGCCATACATTTGGCGAGCACATTGGCGGCTGCACAAAAGCGCCTCCTGCTACTGTGTCTGCACCTCCAAGTGCTGCGTCCCAGAAGCCTCGCCGTATCAAGTCCGAGCACTCTTCTCCAGACCTAAGGAGTTATCCTGCCCTAAAGATGGCCAATACAGGCATTACCCCTCTGGAGTTGACCCCCCAGCTTCCGCAGCCCATCAAATCGGTATCGAGCCGTGTCGCACCTGGACTCAGTGTCAACACCAACGCTCCTTACACCATGCATGAATTCCGTAGCCAGGAGTTGTTGCCATCAGCAGATTCAGAATGCAGCTTCCAATTCTCGGCTGGATTGTATCCGCCTCAATCTGCGGGGTGGCCTCCCTCCTATAATGCATTTGATAATGCCACGTTTGACGAACAGCCCCTGGATACGGGAGTTGATTACTCGGTATCGCAGCTGGACATTGGGAACTACCTCCGCTTCCAGCCATCTGCCGGACTGAATGGATCTGTGTCTGGAGACGAGATTGATGACTTTATTGGTCCAGTGAACGGGCCTGGCGGTCCCGGCGGAGCCAGGACGGTTACAAGGTCTTCCTCGTCGGACACTTCGGACCAGGCCGAATCAGACTTCCGTGTTAGTGCCGCGTCATCATTTGTGGCTTTGCAGCAGGCTTCATCCGCGCTACTTCCAGAAAACAGCTACGAGGATTTAGAAAATCTGAACACAGCTATGGGACCTATGCAACCTACAGATCCCTCATATGGGTTGATCATTGGCACTGTCGACAGGGCTCTTGATAATGAGACTAGGGGCTTGAGTTTGTACGGGGGGTATTCAGATGGGTTTTTGAGTCTAAAGAATATGGCTACTACAAAGGCGGCGGAACTCGGTGGAGTGTCTTCTTCGCTACCACCGGCTGATGATGGAGACTACCTGTGGATGGCACGACCGATAACTCTAAACTCTGTTCAGGATGGAGCTCCCCCACCTGAGCCCTGGATCAGCTAGCATTTGGAGGGCTGAGGGGTTTGTGAGATGTCAGAAGTGAAGGAATATAGAAGGGGCTGAAGGGAGGAGGATTTAAGGGAAATGGAGAGTGAAATGGAAGCGGAAGTTTTTTTTGGGGGGGGGGTAGGGAGGAAAAGATGTTGGAAAAACTTGATGCTGGAGGTGAAATATTCGTTTTCTTCTGGTGTCAAGCGTTGTAAAAGGAAATTCATCTTTTTTCTTTTTCAACTCTTTTCATTTTTTTCACTCTTTCTCCCTCTCTTACTCTCGCGCACACAGATACAGTACAAGGCGATGGGACATGTTCGTTTTTTTGTTCAAGTTTGCTTCATTTCTCTCGCCTTCCCCGACAGACAAGCCTTCCGATGCCCAAGGGGGAAAGAAAAAAAATGAACAAAAAAAGGAGCCTAAATCATGTTCAAGGTCACTGGTTGATTGATCGATTGAATAATGCGCGGCGCAGTACAGGGGTCGCCATCAGCATCATCATCCCCGGTCCTTCGGACAATTTATTCCTGGGTTTTATCTTGATTTTTTTATCTCCTCCTCCATTCTGTTTCCCATTCCCGTTTGCCAGATTAGCTCTGTAGTTGGGTCTCTTATTCTTTTTTTCTTGGTTTTCTCCCATTTATGCAAGACTATATATAGAGGGTGTATTTTTTTTTTTCTTTTCTTCTCAACGTTTATGTTTGTTTCATTGAAATGTTTACTGGGGGTTTTTCATTTGATTTATCTTTTTTTTTTTTTTTTGGGGGGGGGGGGTTGAATTTGGCTGAATGGCTGCTATCAATCTATTGTATCTGTTGCACGTGGGATTGTGTGGTGTACGTTCGTTCGCTCGTTCGCCTGCATCCACTCATGCCATGCTATGCCATGCAACGACGGTAGTTAGTTTAGCTGAGTTAGATTGTTGGTTCGGTTTGCCGAGTTGCGCGTTGTTGGGATGATGGATTATGGTTACGATGTTATGCTGTTGATGTTATGTTTCTTAGTACTTTTACCATTATATCTCTTTCGGCTCTTTCTTTCTATCTATCTTTCTTCCTTTAGCTGCTGGTGCAGGGGAGTGTACGCAGCAGGAAGAAATTACATGTAGAATAAGTCAAGTTGAGTTAAGTCAGGCTGAGTCAGTTCAAACCTGGTACTGTGCTGTACCCTACCTAGTAGACAATTTTCGAAAAGTATCATGCTCGAGTGTATAGTCTACAAGTACGAGTACCGTGATAGATTTGTTTAGTTTAGTTTAGTCCATTTCACCATACCACCTACGGTATCACAATCACTACCGGTATCGAAGTCCTCTCCCTCTCCCTCTCCCTCTCCCTCTCCCTCTCCCCCTCTCTCCCTCTCCCCTTCCTCTTCGGTGTTCACTGCGAGCCATACAGGCAGGCAGGCGGACGGACGGAGAGCGTTGCCCGCCCGTACAGTACTGGGCTGGGCCATGATGGATAGGTAGGTGGATACTGTACGAGTACCGTACAGTACATAGATAAAGCAAGTTTAGACTTTAGAAAGGGGGAGAAGACCCCACATTATTATAGCTTTCCCCGCACGGCAATTACACCGGCAGGAAACCATACCGACCCTCACTCCCTTCCTCCTCCTCCTCCTCTTCCTCACTCATCATCATCATACTGCTAGCCGCACATCTGCGCTTCGCTCTTGCTTGCTGTCTAACTCACACAGACCGGAGCGACTGGTAGTTAAGCTACCCTTATCGGTATCATCAATCAATCAATCAATCAATATTGTTGTTTTACAGGACGGTACTTTTCTCACCCCCCTCCCAAAAAAAAAAATTTCATTAATTTTAAACTTATCGATTGCTGCCTTTCTTTCTTTCTTTCTTTTATTTTATTTTTCCTTCCTCCCTCCTTTCCTCTTGGATGGGTGGCTGGGTGGATGGATCGATGGGGGGTAGGGTACGGACGGGCCGGGGCCGAGACCGGGTGCGTTGTGGTGCGGTATTGCATGTTAGGCACAGTTACCGTTCTGTATTGTATATATGATTTTTGATTGACCGGCGCTATGGCGTGGTACTGTGTGCTCGAGTACTCGTACTGTTACAGTACCGCACCGCGCAAGTGCGGCACCATCCGCAGGCAGGCGGGCAGGACGGTTGGCTATCGGAGGAGGAAAGAAAAGAGGGAAGGGGGGGGGGGTTGTCAGGATTGGGGATAATAATGTCATACCCAATATCCTTCCGAATTCCTGACACTCCGGACGAGCGCGACCAGAAGAGCGACCATGGACCGGGGGGGAAGATCCATCGCTAACTCGAAACGCCTTGGAAATTTGGGAGAGAGACAGGTTCCTGAGCAATTAGGATCCGCAAAGCCGATGTTGTGTCGCCTTCGGATCCTTTTGATGAAATTTCCTTTTTTTTCCCTCTTGGTATCGGGCTTCCCGGCGTTTTTTTTCTTTTTTTCTTTTTTCTTTCGGGGTATCCGGGTTGTTATTCATGGCTGCAGCATGACAGAGTACTGTACAAGTACTCAGTACCGCGGGTAAGTTTAGTATGGTATGATAGTTAGTCTGAAAAAGAGTGAGTGAGTTGCTTAGGTTTGTCATGATACAGGTGCAGTCAAGGGGTATGGCGTTGTTCGCCTCCACT